GAAGAATTAGCTAAAAAAATATTTTTGCAGAAAAAAAACATACAGAGACTAGACACAGTAAAGATACAGTGAGGACACATGCTTAAGTCCTCAAACACATGGAATTACAAAAGTGCTGTTACATACATACAGGCCTTAGAATTTCTCTATGAACAATTTTAAGAAAGACATGCATTTATATACCTGAAGTACCCTATCTGCAAGTACACCAAGTAAAAGACTTCCATTTGCCCCTTTTGTTCTTCCACAGGCTTAAGTCTTTTCATGCACACGAACTGTATTACCTGACGTGCCGGGACATTCCAAATTAAAGTCAGTAAATTACCTTCCTATCCTGGGAGCTAATTTAACCATTTTAGATTGCTTTATCATAAAATACCTCTACTATTAATCTAAACAGTCAAACTCTCAGACAGTAACCTCTCTATCTGTAATGACTTTGTAGTTAACCTAGAAATTTCAAATGGAAGTGGTATTTCCTCCCTGGGGGAGGAACAAATCAGAGAGCTGCCTTAAAGCAGCCTGTCTCCACAGAGTTCCTGCTAACATCCTCTGCTGATATGCCCACTGTGTACTGCCTGGTGAGACAGAAAAATCTGAATTACAGATTTCATTCTTCCCTACCTCCAAATTCTTCTTTTATTATGAAGTAGATGATAAAGAAGTGTCAACATAATGACAGTTTATGCAGTTAAAACCATATTATCTTCCATAGCATCAGATAGGCAACAAGCACTCTCTGATAATCCCCCCCTTCTTTTTTTGATGACAAAATTCAAGTACAGTCTCCTAATTAAAATTAGAGCTTTAAAAATCCTAATGTATTTTTATACTGTATAAATACTGTATTTAAGGTATTTAATACCAGAGACTTTCACAAGCTTTGCACAGACAAGATTTTACCTCAGACACTGCTGCTAATTTCACTTCTGGGGCAGAATACTCCAAGACACAACAGCCCAAAAGGCAGAAAGTGAATTGAAAAACGCTGTCTCCAACTAAAGAGGCAACTGAGACTGTAGCTGGTCAGACTGTAGTTCCTAAAGTCCAATTACGCCACCTGTGCTCAGACTGTAGAGAACATTTTTACAAGTTAGTCCCGCTGAGAAGACTATTCTCTAAAACAAAATGGTACTAAATACAAGGCAAAGGTAGAAAAAAAGAAAAGAGATATTCAAGTTGGAAGCTATCCAAACTAGCAGTTAAACACCAGCTCTCCACAGTGCAATGGGATTCTTTAAAAGTTGTTATTTCAGCATGTGATTTGTGCCTCTCATCCCCAACCTGGCCTTTCTGCTAAACAGGCTGGGACTAATCAGGCATTGCCGGCTCAATTACTGATCCAGCCCAATCCCACTTAGTCCAGGGAAGGCAACAGGACTTGGCCATCCAGTAACAGCCTTATTGAAATGCACTGATCCTTCTGCCCAAATTACTCCTTTGAGAGGGACATTTTTTATTTTTTCTTATGCACTACTAACTTTTCTTGGAATAGTTTTGCATTATTTTTCCACAGTATTTTCTTATAAGAGTTGCTTTGTTTTGGCCTAACAACACAATTTGAAAAGAAGGGGGAGGGTAGAAAGCAGGCAGCCAGAGTAGCAGTTCTTTAAGTCCTTTTCTTTTCTTTAGAAATGTCTTCCAAGGCTTTAGCATGTTCCAAATCTGTGTCCAGTCTTCAAGCCTTCCAGCCTCTGCTTCCAGCCCAGGCCCGCGGCTAGTTCCCCTGCTGAGGAGGGCCGCCAGCACCACCAGCGTTTTCCCTGCGCTGGCCTCCATGCCCTGCACGCACAAGGGCCTGGGGAAACGTCGGCTCCCGCCAAGGCCTCGCCAGCAGCCTTCCACACCCGGGCGGGGCCCCGGCCCAGGCAAGGCAGGAGATGCTGCTGCCGCTCCCGTCGCCTCCGGCACGGTCCTCGGCCCACCGCCGGCTCTGCGCACGCAGCGGGAGGCCGGGCAGAGGTGACACCTCCCGAGCCGTCTCTAGCCATCTCTGCTCCCCTTCCCTTCCCATCCACCAAACAGACAACTCATTCCTCTTGTCTTTATGTTTTTACCTACATCAATTTTTATTTATTTTTTTTAATAATGATAATTCCCAGCACCTAAAACCAGTGTGCTCTGAAGCAAACAAACCACTGCCATTTGTAATAATTTAATTGCCTCCAATGAGTTATTTTAGAAGAAAAAACTTCCAACATTTTGGATGAATACTGAGTTTTAAGCCTGCAAATCTGGCATCTAATGTTCACAATGTTTATCTAAATGTCAAGCCGTACTTCAAAAAAATTATATAATAGTACTAGATGAGGCACTGCAGGGAATTGCTTCTACCCTCACACTATAGCTAACTTGTTCCATAATAACACGGTTCACAATTTCTGGTTCATTTTAACAAATCTCATAAAAATCCTCTGATGGGCTCAAGCCTCCATTAGCTAGCTATATGACTTACTGATCAATACACCAAAGACATCAACAGAACAGTTCAAAGTCTGAAGTGGAGGTGGATAAATGTAGAAATCCCTGCGAGTGTTTTAGCTGTTCACTACTTTGCAATCCCAAGGGAAGGCTGCATGGCACAAAAGCAAATCATCTACAGTTTTCATTAAGTACAAATTCCAAAACTGGCAGTATTTTTACTTTCCGATGCTCGAAAAGCTTTACTTGGAACGTTAATTACAGCAAAGGATAACAGAGCCACTTTCTCCACACACAGCTCCCATAAACGTAAGATTATTCACCTCACAATAACCGGAGCACAAGGGCACCTGCAGGCATCTGGAGTGTACAGGAGGGGGTTCTTGGTAACCCTCGACTGACTTTTAGTGATTGAGCACCACCAGGTACATATCCTGTAAGAAATTTATTCTAAGAATTTTTGAGGTAATCTTATATATTTGCTCTTTGGGTTACAAAAAGGCAGATGAATTAGCAGAAAACAGTTTAAAGCAATACCTCAAACACCAGTATTTTAATATTGTAAACACTACCCTCTTCCTGAAACAGTACCTCATGACACACTTTGGCTGGTGCAGTACCAGCTTGTCAATACTTCTTGCCTGGAACGCCTGCCATTCAGTAGAGTGCCAAAGTCCCAGCGGGATTCTTCAGGAGTTTGGAGAAAGAACCCGGATCCTGGTCCATAAGGCAGCTTTTCCAACACCACAAACAGCACTTCTCCAGAGCTGGATTTCCTCACAGTCATATAAGGCAGACACAGATCCGCAAAAGTAAAACTCATGAGTCCTCTACTCTCAGGTACAACCTTTTGCTGACAGGCCAGGGTCACTATGGACGTGCCTATAGTAAGATCAAAAGTGAAAAACCTTTCACAAGGTTTTTCTAGCAAGTGCCCTATCCAATACCGACAAGTCAATGATCTTGAGATACCTCCTCACAAGTAGACTGATAATGGAAGCAACTGAAAACTTCTAAAGTGTTTGTGATTTGTGATCTGCCCCTTTTACCAGGGAAGTTTCCTGTTAGTTTATACTCAAGCATTAAATTTTAGACCAGCATAACTAGAAAAACCATCTAACCTATCACACTTGCAGCTTCATGAAATTAGTTACAGTGAACTTGCTTCAGGTGGTAGTAAAAATTTTTTTCATCTGTGAATTAGGATTCCTAACAGGAACAAAGGTTAATTATGTAAATAGAATTCTCTTCCTTCACTTCTAGCTTAAGAGCTTCAAAAAATGTGAAAGCATAATCCCTAGCATTTCACTGTATTTGCAAGATGAGTGTTTGCCCTTCAGATATGCCATCACTGCAAATAACTAACTAGCTAGAAACTAACCCCACATGCTTTATCATGATTTGAAACTACCCAGGCATCTTGCTTATGCTTCTACATGGATGTATAAGATGGCCAGTTAGAGAAGTGAAAATGAAATAAGAATATTGAAGATATTAATTGGTCAGTTACATGAACTGGACAACAACTTAACCTCTTCCAAATATTTTGAAAGTCTTTTCAGCCCTCACAGTAATATATATCTCTGCTTCCTTCAACAAACAACCTTTGGCAAACAGACTGTTTCTTAGAGCTGTCACTGGAGAAGTAGTCAAGGAAAAGGGAAGATAATAGATTTTGGAATCCATTTAAGCAGTCATTCTGTGCATGTATTTTTTTCTGATTACTATTAGTTTTTAATGTTACCATCTTAGAGCCATTTACTGTGCATAGATCTGCTATTTATTTCTAACCTACTGGTCATAATGTTTGTAAATAGCTGTCTGTTTCTATAATTTTTTATCTTTTCATTAGTAAACAAAAAATATCGTTTAACCTTCCCCGACAAATACAGCTAGAATACAGACGGATTCTGGGAACATATAGACATACTTTTGAAGGTCTGAAATCTTTTGTCAATACAAACAGGATGAAAATAAGCCCTAAAGTATGTTTTAGAACCTTTAAAAACGAACAAAAATTTTCCAAGAGCTGAACTGCATAATTAAGCAGCCACTATCAGAGATTACTTGTAAACGGATTTTAGTGAAAGGTAAACTAATTTGTTTAAACCCCCAAACACACTAAGGTCAGATGACATATTTGTATGCTTTTTGTAAAATATTTGTCATTTCTCCACAGTGGCTGATCAAACTTGCCAATAAAATGTGTTTTGAGTAGGCAACTTGTAATACAGCTATGGTTTACTTCTGACAGAGGCTGACTGCTGAAGTGCGAAACTCATTAAAAATCTCTCACTGTGATCCTTCCTTGCAAGAAAAGAAAGAAGGAAAGAAAGAAAGAAAATACTTAATGAAGGGTACATTTAGCCTGAAGCCACATTCATATTCCGCTTTTCATTTTACTCTATTTCAGTAAGCAATTAAAAGACAGCAATTAGTAACAGAAACATTATTCATACTGGTCATACCGGGAGAGGAAAGAAGTTAACACTTTATGTTAATATTATGAAAATAATGTAGATCATGATTAACAGAATAAACTAAAAATGAATGCTAAAATAAATAGCAGAATCTCTTACCTTAATCGTAAAACAAGATTCACTGCACACGGAACTTCACTGTATTCGTCACCAACAGCAGGCTGAGATTATTGAAGAGAAAAAAGAAGTGTTAAAAGGCAGACCAAAGGCAGAAGAATCCTGAAATATTTGCCATGCTAACAATCTGAAGTCAGTATGACTCTCAAAAACCTTTTAAACAGTTCCAGTAATGCAGTCTAAAATACAGGTAATACCTATAAAACCGTCATATTTCTATTACAGACACAAATGAAAAAGTTTACATTACAATACTGGATGTTAGATCCACCTTTTATCAAACTCTGATAAACTACTAAATAATAGTAACACAGCGTACAGCGAGAGCACCAAGGTAACGCTCACATTCATTTTGTATGACGCAAGTTTTAGTTTTTAAAGAAACTCTCCCCAAAAGTACTTGCCATACAAGGTTATACAACCAAAACAAAAATATGAATTAAAACAGAAATCCTTCTTACATAAGCACTTGAAAGCAAAGCATTGATAAAGAACTGTTTACCTCTGTGTTCTCCTCTTCTTTTACTCTTCGTGACTGGAAAAAAAAAAGTAATAAGATATGAGTGTTACATGCTGAAGATTCAGAAGTACTAACAATTAAGACAGAATATCTCGTTCATTTCTCAGCACAAACAGAAGTTACCTTTTCCTGAGAAAAAGCAGCTTTGCCTTCCTCACTCTTTTCATCCATTTCATCATCACTCCATTCCCAGTCTCCATCTTCTGTTTTATGGAGGTGACCACTGGAACCTGGTACCCGTCTAACCTACAAAAACATAAAGTGTTCTCCATCATACAGGCATCTTAAGTCTTCACTAGGGTTCTGGTCAATCAGTAACTCTACATTATTTTTATTCTCTGTGCTTTCACTAATTTGCTAGAGCAATCACTAACATACTGGAGTAACATCTGACCTTAGGGGTCATTACTGGGCCACAGGGAACAGCTAGTTTATGTAAAGTTCATATAGAAAAAGAGGGTTTGTACACACTTCACTGTTCTTCAGACTAAGCTGAGGCAGGTGAGAACTGCTTACTCTCAGCTAAAACCTTCATTCAACTAAAATCTTCATTACAAGGAAGCTATTCAAAGTGCTAGAGGTTATAGAGATGAGGTTGTTAGTGAGACACAAGTCTTAAGAATTTTGTTTTGTTAAGAAACTTTAAAGTACATAAAATTATTAAAGATGCTTTAAAAACAAAATCCTTAAAAAAATAAAAAAGTAGCTGCACACAGAGTGAAAAAGTAGTCAGGTATGCACCAAGCCACATTAAACGGCAAATACCTGCAAATCAGGCAGCCTAATAAAGTGTACAAAGAGCACCCAGTAGCTATTTCAAAATCAAATATCCTCTTATGCCATCTTGCTCATTTTTCATAGTCTGATAAAGTGGGGTTTTTTTCCCCCTCAGGGTTTTGCTCAAAAGCAAAACAAAAGAAGCCCCAACAATTCTTACTGCACCTGAACAAGAGTTTATTAGACTCATGAGACCGCTAAAAGCACAGAACAATAATCAGACACCCCATTGGCAATGAAATTAAAATCAGTTTCTCTGATTATTTTCCATTAGTGCTAGAAGATAGAGCTCACACTGTATAACTTCAAATGCTCATACTGTTAAGTTCAGCACTATGAATTTGTAAGGTCTGTAAGCATGTAGCCCTTTCAAAGCATTAAAAAAGAACAAAAGTGATTCAGAAAAACAGTCAGCATACTGGTAACAGGAAAAAAGGGAACAAAGCTTTAAATGTTTCACAGTTTACAAAAGGAAGAACTAACTGAGCAGACGCACAATTCCAGACAAGAAGAAATACTGGAGAAGGTACCTGATAAAAAAAAGTCTTCAAAATAAATTGTAGTAAGAGCTAAATGTCCTTAACTCCCAACTGTACGAACTCTGCCATTACCTATGGTACCATACCTGCTTTGAGCTTGGTTTCACAGCTGTCTGTGATGCTTTCCTGCCTTGCACTGATGCATAATGCACATATCCTACTTCACCACTGGAAGAATCCTGCATTATTTCCCCTATTTCCCATACCAAGTTCCCAATACACCCAATTTAGCTCTAACTGTTGCAGGGCTTGGAAGAAGGAGCTCATGTGCATTTGCTAGGCAGGAGTGGGGAGGAGGAGGAGGAGGAACTGGAAACAGCAGCTTCACACTCTGCTGCCATCAGCCCAGGCACAATCAGTGAGCTCTTCCCCTCCATATCATCAGGGATGATGACAGACAGAAGGGAGTCTAGCAGGCAGCTTCCCTGGTGCCTGTGGGTATAAATTATAGTCCTGCAAGGAACAGCTCTGATTCAGATTTTTATTTAATAGCACACGTATTTTCCTGACTTCTATATAAAAACGTTTGAAAAGACATCAGCCACAAGGCAGAACATGATAACAGAATGGTTTGCAGACCCATTCATACACTACCTGATGCACTAACCAAAAATCTCTACTGCATCTGTTTTCAGTTGTTTCAAACAAGAAAGTTGTTTCTAACTAGAAAGATTTTAATGGAGCCTAATGATACTGCTAGGTTTATAGCAGAAAGATTTACTGGTGAAGATGAAGCACATTTCAAGTTTTTAAATAGACTGCCTTTTAATAAGCAATGAACAAATGGCTCAAGGAAAAGAAAACAATTTACTTCAGTATAAAGTATCACGTTAAACTAAAAGATTTTCTTGAAAGCTGTCTGAAGGCAGAAAAATAAGAGTCTAAACTTGCTGTATGTTCACCAGACTGATTCCAACAGCACAAGTATTCACAGGAAAGAAATCTCATCTCAGCTACAGCAAAGCAACCTACCTTAAAAGTACCCTTTCTTTCAGCCTTAAAAACTTCAAAGATCTCGTATATCACAGTTTCATTGGCAGGTTTGCTTAGCTCTTATGCTACTTCCTAAATGAAGCTGAACAATTTTTGATTAAAAGTAGCTTTACTAAAAGACTCTGTTCCGGTTAAAGCCACAAAGACCAAGTCACACAGGGAAGACACAGAGCAAGACATGAGCACACCATGCTTGCAAAACAACTTGTCTCTTTTTCCATCGTAAGTCTGAAGACTTTTTTACCACATCCTAACTAACACCATGAACTTTATGATCTCCTGGACTAGCTATGCATTCCCAACAAATACACTAACAGTCACTATAACAGGGCTTAAAAATATATAAATAAAGTAACAAAATAAGCAATTGTTAAGTTGCACCACTGCCATGATTGCTGTATCTGAAACATTTTTTTTTTGACTGAAGAGAAAACACGTCTAATATTTCTCTAGGTGATATTCACACATTATTTTCAGTTTTGATCATTCCTTTTCAATTTACAAACACAGGTGTGGATACATAAGAGAGGCAGCCAAGAGGAGCCCTATTTGGGCAGGTGGGGGCGAAGCCAGTTCCTCAGCTCAGGCCAACAAACAAGCTCTCAGCGGCAGCGGCTGCTGGAGCCACTATCCCTGCCACACCGGGGCCTCGGCCTAGACCCAGCCCAGAGCGGGCAGCGCTGGAGACCTCAGGCCACAGGGAGGATAAATCTTTCTTCTTCTGATTATCTTACAAAACCACCAAGCACAGCAAATCTTGTTACCTACCTTGCTGTGCTGCATGTACTGTTTTTCCTCATTCACACCATCTCCAATTCCCTTTGTTTATGAAGGGGAACTGAAAAGGTCATCTATATCCCTTCATATTCAGATTTTCAAGGCTGTAAAGACTGCATTTGGCAGTTCAATCTACAGTTTCTACATAAATACTTATATGGCCTCTACTATTAGATGCTCAGTGCATTTCACAGTGTACTATGAATTTCTCTTAGTCTGCTGGTCCATTTTTCATGAAGAAATAAAAAAGGACAGATGAAGTGATTTATCCAAAGCCAACAAGCAAATCTGTGACAGATCAGGGAACTGAAATAAAGTTCTTACACTTCTACAAAAATAGGAGGAAATTCTTTTCTGGGATATGCGCTAGTACATAAATGATATCAGCTTTAGTTGAAATATGCCATATTGACAGGTTTTTATGTAAGGATTACATCTCTCAATAGAACCATTCAGAAGAAAAGGGAAACAAGTTAAAACATGTGCAGTCCTCATTTGGGTTTATTGTTTTAGAAAACCTAAATGATCCTTCCAAAATAGGAACTAAATTGATTCATAACTTTAGCTATTAAAAGAAAACAATGAAAGCCTTCAGCTGTACAAAGACAAATTAACACATATTAGAAAACATATTTCACATAAATCAGAAAAACACACAGGGAATAAAAAATGAATCTGAATGACTGGCATTTAAATTGCACCCAACACAAAAGCAGTTTAGATCATTGTAATCCGCAACCAAAAGCGGTTTGCAGGAAGAAAAACTTTAAAAGCTGCTGCCAACATCACCACAGCTGCAGAAGACAGACAATGCTTGACAAATTAGTGAGTGAAAAGATCACAACTACCACAAAACATTCAATATAAATTTATTATTACTGGGCATGTTGTTTCTGGTCCATGCTTATTCCAGCAGTGTACACCAGAGTTGCAAAGACTTGAGAATAAACTAAGCTGTTGACAGGAACTTTTGTCCTTACCCTTCCAAAGCCTGGCACACATCATTAATATTCCAGCCCGCAACAGGGTGCACGGGCTTTCCAGAAGCACGTCCGCTTAACCAGATGAGCAGGGCAGCTCCAAGCCCCATCTACCAAAGGTCAGCTCAAATAAGGCCATAACCTGAGCCTGCCTGTCAGGGCAAGTGCTCAGGCATCAGAATGCACAAGCTGCTCACACTCCCTAAAGCTCAGCCAAGAAAAGCTGCAGCATCAGGAAGCAAAACAAATTCTTGGCCTCTAGGTGCTGATGTGCTTGCTCCAGGTAGACGCTAGAGAAACTGGGAAAAGAAGAATCTATTATTCATCATCGACTCTTTTGCTTCTGCAATCTCTTACAAGTTTATTTTTGTGGGAGTGAATGAAAAAGGAAGGGAACAAACATTTTCTGAATATTAAGATCTTACATAAAGAATAAAAAGTGACCTGAAAGTAAGGTAAATGAGACATGTACATCAGCAAAAGTGACTGCACTAATGAGCAATAAGGATTCCAGCAACAAAGTGTTAACATGAAGACCTCATGCACCTAAAACACACCTGTGAAAGCCTTGGCCAAACCCTAACGCTGCTCCCTATTGATTTTTAGCTACAGAACTGTCAGTGCCACTCTACAGCTTGCACTCCCTGACCTGCACAAGGCAACCCCCACTTTTGTAGGTTGGTTTCAAACACACATCCTTCCAGAAATGCTGCAGCCCACCAAACAAAGCTAGGAAGCTTTTCCTGTAGGTAAAATTGTCTTTCGTTTGCCCACTGATTGCCCACTGATGTCCTTCTGCTACAGCTGCCAGGATGGAATTCAAGATAATATACAAGACCACACGCTTTGGAGATCAGGAACGATGAGCTTGTTATCTGAACGCTCCATCATCATCATCTCCATTTTCTCTAGCCTGCCCTAATAACAGCTCAAACTGACTCTGAGACAGAAAAGGGAATGACCTTAAAGATGTCTCCCTTTTCCAGGTACAGGCACGTTTCTCCTCAAGACCCCTGAAATGCAGGAGGGCTCCTCCTGCAACTTTATTCCCCACCACAAAATGGTGGCCACTTTCATGATGGGAACATAAAGTGCATCAGTTTTTTTATAATAGTCATAAATGCAGGAAAGCTGAAAGAACTTTAGTTCAGAAAAGCAAGGTAATGGCTCCTTAAGAGCT